CAAGCAAGAGATTAGAAGGAAATCCCTTCCCTCTTGCCCGGCCGTGGGCAAACGCCCCGCGGCCGGCTCTCTTTCACCCTCGCAGCCCTAGGCGTAAACAGTACCCACGGGTACTGTAGCGCCACGGATACTGTAGCACGTCAGTCGCCGTCGCTCCCCTCGACTCTCTCCCTCTCAATCCTCCAGCCACATAACAATAATATTGGCACAAGATTGGATCATCAATGCTGTCCTCCAAGAGCATGTGAGAGATGTAGGAATGCACCATGTTATCAGGGGAGAGAGGACCCTCACCGTTGCGAAATACAGATGGAGATGGTGCCGATGGTTCCATGAGATCCTCCAGAAAGAATTCTACCAGGTTGGTGGCCAACAGGACCACTGGTGGTGGTGATGCGCTATTGCGCTGTAGCTTTTTTTCTTATGTCATCAAGAAGACAACAAACCTTGCCAATATGTATTCTAGTGCTAGATAGTTCCAACAACCTAACATCTGGAGTGGAAATGTTTGATGATTACAATGTTGCTTGGACAATGGAGACAGAGGCGAGCTATGATTCCAATGTTACTACACTTGGGTAATAGAGACACTAGCGCTACAGCACAAAGCTAGCAAAAAATTTCTACCTTTTCTGAAATAGCAGAGGAAAATATTTGAACAAGTCAAAACATATTTAAATAAGGTTTGCACGTTAAGATGAAGTGTTTAGGTTAGTTATATAGGAATTGTGTGAGTATGATACTGTAATTGTCCTAAGAAATATTTCCGTGAAAACTAATGAAAACACCATGCTGTTACATAAGAAGTTATGGCTCCAAGGCTCCAGGTGAATACTATCAAGAGAGTGCTACAGTTGGGGCTTAATAACCATTTTAAGCACGTCTCAACTTAGGGTTGTCAATGATAACCATTAACCATATCAGATTAATGCGCAAAAATAGCAAATAATACTACTATACTAGTATCTAGCACGGTCATGGGCGGCGGCAGGGGTATGTCTGGGTATTCATTGCAATACCCAAGATTTTGGTGCAAAAAGTAAATATACATAGTATACATGTATAGCATATTTTCTAATTGGACCAAAAGCCAACAAACCGATCTACATCACTCTGAGCCCAGTTAGGCTCTATGCCAACTAGCAGACAGAGGAACCCTTCGAGAGCCCTGACCTGACGGCCTCCCACCCGCCGGTGCCCCCCGCCCTCCCCTCCCCCTCCCCCTCCCCCTCCCCACCATAGATGTCGCAGGATCTCCATTCTCCGCCTCGCTGGAGATCCGTCCTCACGCGGAGCCAGCGTCGGATGCTGCCGCCGCCCTGCCGGGTGGACCCGAGGCCATCCCCATTGATCCGGCGCTTGGCCCCTCCGCGACCCCCACGCAACCGCGCTGCGTCGAGGTCGGGCTCGCCGCCGCTCCCGACGATGATGTCGGGCCCCAAAGCAGCAGCCACCACCGCCGAGCCCGCCCGCCCGCGGATCCATGGGCTCCAGCATGCTCAGCGCCCTCGCGCCACCTACGCCGCCCCGACCGACGCCGGAAGCGTCGCGCGGCGCCATCGCTTGCCGCTCATCGCCGCCTTCCTCGGGAGCTCCGCCGCCACCGGGGAATGTGGACGCCGCCACGGACGCCACCACGGCGCGCGACGTTGACTTCCCGGGGGCTCGGCGCTGTCCCCTCGGGGGCGTTGCAAGATGCCCGCGGCCAGCGGGCCTCAGGGCGGACGGCACCGGGAGAGGCGTTCAAGAGCCGCGGTGGGGCGGACGACGACGCGGAGGAGACCGATGACGACCACCCGCGACATACCGAGGCCGCTGCTGTGCGCCGGCCGGCCCTCCTCGTCTCGTCCCGTGCGCCGCCCAGACTTGTTCACCAGTAGTTTTGGGGCGCCACGAGCGGGGGCGCTTTTGCACGGCTGTCTTTGGTGTTGAACGGAGCCGACAGGACATGGCCGTAGGCGAGGGAAGCGCAGCCGCCACGCCAGTAGGCCGGTGAATGGCTTGCTCAGTCGCGGCGCGGATGGCCATGTCCACGCCCGCTAACGCCTCGGCGGCCGTGTGGGCGGGTCTCCGCCCCCAACACCGATGGGTGGCGTGAGATCCTCCCCTGGCAGGTCACAGGATCTGTTGCTGCCTCGATGGAGCCTCGCCCAAGCCAAAGGCAACTTTCGCAGTCAAGAAGATCTCGGTAGAGCTTCACGGCGGATGCTTCAATCGCCTCTCCTACTACCGCACCGAGTAGCGACTTGTCGGTTGCCATGGCGTTACTGCTATTGCTTGCGGTTCGGGCACCTCGTCAAGGATCGCCGACCTCGGCGGCGGTGGGTGCCAACTCCACGCGTACTTTCTGCTTTCGCGTCGACCCTCGTCCTCCCTTCCCAAAGACGCGCCACACGGCAGCGTCTGAAGGTGTCGATCGGGGTCATGGGGGCGCCGGTGGGAGACGACGACGACATCGGCGACGCAAGACTAAGCCGAAGGAGATCGGCACGGGTGCGCCTGCCGACCACGCTGACAGGGCACCTACTTCTACTGCTGCACTAAGCTTCCCCGAGCCAGATCCGGTGGCGCTGGCGCTGTGCGTGAGTGCGGGGCCCCTCGCATTGGTCATCTCTTTCGACCCGATGCTGGAGGAGCTCGCCGCCTCGCTCGTCGTGAGCCGACCAATGAGAGCAGCAACACCTGAGTGTCTGCCTGCTACGGCAGCCCCTCAGGAGGTTGAGGCACCAATGGCGGACACCCGTTCCCGGCGACGGCTGCTCAGTGGACGACAGACTTGTCTCTGATGTCGCCAGTGCAGGGGTCGCCACAACTCACGCCACCACGAGCGGGAGCACCCGGCGTCGCAGAGGGTTGCACCAACCCCAACGACGCGACGCCCACACCACGCGAAGCTGCCCGACGTCTCGTACGGTTCACTGAGGAGGTGCAGCTCGAGCAAATGCTGCCTCTAATCGCCAGCCCACCCAGGCAGAAGGTGGCAACCATAGGGCAACCCATGCCAAAGCGGAGCAGACGGATTGCCGCTCAGCCGCTGGCGCACATTCCGACCTCCAAGCGGGGCGAGGTGCTACTCATGCGGAGGATGGGCTTTGCACCTCCGGCAGCTCCAATCTCATCCGCGTCCAAGAGAGCTTACGACGACTTTTTCGCAAGGACCTTGACGTCGAGCGAAGTGGAAGCATTGGACGTGCTGTTCCCGGCGACCAATGCTACGACTGGTAGAAGACTCTTCTCGGACGACGGAGCAGAGTCGCGCGGCCAGTAGCGGAGACGCCCAGCTCCGTAGGTTACTGCGCTGCCCTTAGTTCCGTTGTTTACCTTTATGTAATATCGAAGTTTGAAACAGTCTGCTAGAAAGGTCCAGTCACAACTGTAAGATCTCCTAGGGCGCTCATTAGAAGCGTGTCGTGTGTATGCTTAAACCCTTCTTCTTCTTAATTACAATGATACGTAAATTTTTTACGTATTCGAGAAAAGAAAAAAAAAAGGCAACAAACCAACTGGTAGCAGCGGAGCAGGCCAACATGGTCAAGGCTCAAGCGGCCAGCTGCGTGCGTATAGACCACAAGCGACTGCACCTCCCAAGTTGCGACTCCTGTACCAATCCAGCGGGCAGCCGGCGGTGGCGCATCTCGATCTGCTGCTGCGGTAGCGGCCAGTGGCCAGCAGCGCATCGCGGTCGCGGAGAGCAGCAGCTGGCTCCGGCCCACGGGCTCACTCGACTCGATGACTCGGCCACAGCCCCAGCGGTCGGTTCTCGCTCGGCGGCTTCGGCCTTTCAGCGGTGGCGGCTGGCATTGAAGGCAGTCAAGTAGGGGACTGCAGTCAAGCACTAGAGCTGGCGAGATCCATAGGCAGTTGGCACGACGACACCGGGTAAAGATTCCATTTTCTCTTCTATCTAATTCATTTGTTCTTGCTGCTGCTGTCCACTGGCTGCTTGCTACTTTGTTTAGTTTTTTTACATTCTGTTCTTTGTAAATTGTAATGTAGATGAAGAAGAAGGGTATTAGCATTAGCATATTTGCATTATGGGAGAAAGCTGCAAAGCTGAAAATTGTAATAGGCTTTACTGTTTTGTAACCTTTCTAAATTATTAGAGATCTGCTACAATGCCACTAGGTTAACAATTTGTACTTTGGGTATTACTGTAGATTTGTTATGATCACGAGTGCACTTTGATTATTGTTACGGACGTATGGTCCAATATACTTGCATTGCAAAAAAAAATTATATGGAATATCCTGGCTCCGCCACTGAGCACAGTGCATTCCAGTCATTACAACAACAACAACAACAACAAAGTCTTTAAGTCCCAAATAAGTTGGGGTAAACTAGAGTTAAAACCCAGCAGAAGCAATCAAGGTTCAGACAAGTGAATACCTGTTTTTCAAGCATTCCTATCTAAGGCTAAGTCTTTGGGTATATTCCATCATTTCAAATCTCCTTTTATTGCCTCTACCCAAGTCAACTTCGGTTTTCATCTCTCTCTTTTCACGTTACTATCCATGGCTTAGGATTCACTACGCGTTCCAGTCATTCTAAAAGTTTTTAGTAGTGGGGCTAGAACGCTTGCTGCGTCTGCCTTGATGGCCTTCATATGCGAACATCTTCCTCCTCATGAGAAAATAGAACTGTAGATGGTTTACAGAAGAGTCAACAGTCAAGTGAGGCAGGTTGAGGCCTTGAGGGCATGAATCACATCTACAGGTTCCACTTGTCATAAAAGGAGTAAAACGCCAAACAGAATGTCAGTGTGAATAGGCGCTGCCTCAAATCTGAAACAGATAGTGCAACATTGTAGTCCGCTAATTCGGGCTTTATTACGCTGTTTAACTCTTGAATGGAGCATCAGAGGTTCAGTGTACAAGAGCACAGCAAGTCTACAATACAAGCACATGGTAGGAACTAGGAAGCTAGCGGGAGCAATCCAAACATTTGAACCAGGCCATCACCAATTACTGCCACTGCGTACCAGACATCGGCGGCGGCGGCGGCTACTCGAAGTTGTAGTGCTTGTCGACGGCCTCGGCGACGTCCCAGGTGCACTTCATGCCCTTGGGGAAGACGACAAGGTCTCCCGCGGTGATCTCCACGAACTCCTCCCCATGACCCTCGGGGTACACCTTCACCTTCCCCTGCAGCAGGTAGCACGTCTCCTTGGCGGAGTAGGTCCACGGGAACTTGCTCTTCTCGCACCCCCACCTGATCCATCCATTCATTCACCAGCAGGTCGCCGTCAGCAAGGGCACGGCCGCACGGGCACAGTGTAGCGGCGTAGGGCGGCGGGCGGGACCAGAGACTGAGAGATCGAGACGCCCGGGAGAAGGGAGGGAGGGCGGGTCGGTCGCTTACTTGGGCCACTGGCGGACGCCGAGCTCGGAGAGGCGGGACTCGGGCGGGTTGCGCTCCACCTTGATGCCCAGCTTCTCCGTCGCCATCGTCTCCGCCGACGCCCTCACCGCCGCGAATCGCCGCCGCCTGGTGGTGGTGGCTGTCCCTGGTGCCCTGGGGAAGGAGCAGCAGAAGCTGAGGCGGCCGGTTGTGCGGAGCTGGACCGGGGTGGCCACCATTGAGCTCGTTGCATCTCCCATCCTCAGGAACACGCACTTGGGTTGGGTGGTGGGCCTTCGCGCGTGGTAGGGAACTGAACTGAACCGTGGCGAAACGAAGGCTCCCGATGCGGCGGCCGGTGAGTGGCCCAGGTTTCTCCTCATCGAGGCCCACTCGTTGCTTATCTACCTATCCTCTTCGCACCGAGCCGGAGCTTTCTGCTCCACGCACGATGTTCTCTCTCTTTTCTATTTCGTAGTAGTGACTAGGATTTTTCTATACTTGTTTTTCAGTTAGGGGAGACTGGAAAGTGTGGAGGAGACGACGGGAGACATGGCAAGAGCCAAGAGACCAAGAACTCAGTCAGAGACAGCAAAAAGAGGCCCAGTTCATATGAGAAAAGCAGGCGTCTTTGCCGTAGGCCTTGTGCCAGCGTTGTTAACCACGCGGCCAACAGCGAAAAAACGGCCGTCAAAGTTCAAACTCCGGAAGTCGAGGAAGATAGCACCACAAGCGTGAATGCGTAACGAGATAGCACGATGGAGCGCTACGTTACCCCGGATTTGCGCTCGCGCTACGTAACACGACCGAACGAGGAACAAAATTCTTTTTTTTCTGAAAACGCTTCTTACATGGCGTCGCGGGATGGACCCATTTTGCCCCGACGTTGGACCCCATGCCACGCACGATGAGCCCGACACGCTAGACACTCGCTAGCTTGCTCCCAAACTCGTGCCTCCCCGTCGTGGCCGTGCTCCATCCGCCTGCCCTTGCCCCTGCCGAGGTCCATACCGCCGACGAGCTCTACACTGGTGACCTCCGCGTTGCTTTGCGGCTTCGAGCTCCGTGCCTGCGTTGAGCTTCGCGTTGATGAGCCTCCATTCGTCTAAACAGCAAGCAGATGCTATGCTACGCTAACAGCTCATGTTGCAATAGTATGTTTCAAGTGTTTCAGATATTTTCGAGGTAAGTTGCACGTGTTGTATATTGATGTTGCAAAAGTAGATCGGGATCGTTGCACATGTTGTAATGCCTACTCACGTATGTTTCAAGTGTATGTTCCAAATGTTTTATCTGTTCCAGATGAATGTTGCAAGTGTTTTGTCTGGGTGTTGCATATACATGCATGTTGCAAGCATATGTTTCAAGTGTTTTTAGGTATTTCATACGTATGTTTGCAAGTGTTTCATCTGGATGTTGTATATGTTTGCAATGGTTTTCAAATGTTTTGCAAATGTTTTCTCAAGTGTTTTCAGACGCTTGTTTCAATTGTTTCATATGTTTTTTTTTTATATTGCAACTGTTGCATCTGGATGTTTTAAAAATAGATCGGGTGTTGCACGTGGCGGGGTGGCGTGGGCGACGTCCAGGATGGCACGGGACCACGACCACTACTGGTGCGCTCTCTTACGAGCCCGACACACTATGCGCTCGTTCGCTCTCTTTTGGATAACGTCTGGACGCTAGTGCCTATATCGGACATCCGGACGCTAGAAGTCCGACTCTTTTTTTTCTTGTTTCTTTTACTTTTTTGGTTAGCGGAGCAAAGACTTGAGCGATGAAATGTAAACCTCTCACCAAAATTTAGTTTAAGAACAATAAATAAAAAGCTGCGGCACAGTAGGTGAAAAAGCAGTGGCATGTCTAAGTTTATGAACTTACCAAGCCGCTGCGCCAAAAGGTATGGTAGCCATATGTTGGCGACAGCGGGAAACCAAATACTTTTGTAGATGTGGGCCTAATTGCAATCATGTCACCTGCTATTGAGCCAACTAGTGCAGGGCGCGCGCCATCACGCGCCTCGTGAATTAGCTGTTAAATGCCTGGGTGAAAATATATGTTCAATCTTTGCTTGGAAAGAGCAGTGGAATAATATATTGGCTGCTGAAATTATATTTGAAGTTTTACAGAGACAAATGATTAAGAGCAGTGGAAGAATATATAGTATATGATGTTAATTACAGAAGGTGCTAAAGCATACATAGTGTCATACAGGAATATTGTTGCTGAGAATCATAGACATGAAATTTTCAGGTCAAATACATAGCATAAACTATCTAAAGTTCATATGGAGTTGGAGTCTGTTCTGAAATTTTGGAGCCTCGCAAAAGTAAGTCGTGTTTCTGCTACTGAACCTAGACAAAAGCACCCAGGCAGTGTTGATTTCGAACCTGTAATGCCCATAACAGATTGTTAGTTAAATTAGCATAGATGATATTATAATGTTAGCAGTGTGGTTCCGTACCTGTAATGGAAAGAATCGGTTGCTAGCTAAATCAGCATAGATGATATTGCACTGATCATGTATTGAAGTATAAGATGATGTTTTGAACCAATCTTGTTCAATTACGGTGGTGGCTGGCAGAGGTTCTACGGCCACTGCTCCTTACCTATGATTTGGAGTCTTCAGTTTTCGCTCTGCAGTTGATGTATACTCAGGAAGATTGCAATACCTTGGGATATATGATGAGTGTTTTTTCAAAAGGAAGTCATTATGTAGTGCAATGTTTTTTAAACAACACCTTATAGGCATTACCTTCAGTGTAGTGTTTTAATGCATAGCACTGGAAACAATGGTCTTACTATAGAAGGGAAGAAACTGTAGTCTCAAATAAAAGGAGTTCAGAAGGATTTTTCCCTTCTAAGATCATAATTTTCCAATGGAACATATCCTCCTATAACTAAAAAGAACAAAGCGTGAACACTTTTTGGTGCGACATTTTAACGTGGGTCCATCGTCCTGCCTGGTGCGATCCCACACCCCTCTCGCTCCCAGGCCCCGCCCGGCGATTTGCACGCGCGCCCTCGCTGCCAAGCCCGCCCGACGTCAATCACGCTCCTTCCAAATCAGGAACCAGGCAACAAAAATCTCTTGCCCGCTCGTAGCGGTAGCGCTCCCTCCCTCGCCCAAACTTCGGCTTGTCGGTCTGTCTTCGTGCGATCCACGCGCGGCATCCCATCCCCACGCACGCCCCCAACTGTTCCCGCTGGCCGCCGCCTCCCAGATCCGCCAGTTCGAGCCTCGCCGCGGCTCCCTTTTGAGGACGGCCATGCCATGGCGCCCCGCACCGCTGCTGCCAGCCGCTAGTGTCACAGCCGATGCGTGTACACGGATGCAGCACCGAGGCCGTCGTGATCTCCGGCGGCAGCGGGAGGAGTACGACGCCTACGCCGCCACGCTGGCCTTGAACATGCAAAACCCTAGGTTTTGGGGCACGCGTGGTTCGTGGAAGTCGGAGGATTTTTTTTTTGTGATGCCGCAGGGCGGCGGCGATCTGCATGGATGACGAGGTGGCCTGCGCCGCCACGGAATGCTCGAGGATCGAGAAGTTGGATCCCGTTGCCTAGGAATGACGGCCATGGTGGCAGGTCCTCCGCCTCCTGCATCTTTTGCCGGGGCTGGAGCTGTGCCTGCGGTCCGGTGCGCTTACCCTCCTCTCCTCCTCGCAATACATCTCTACCCTAACTCCATGACGCCGGCCCCAACTCCTACTGATTTCTCTGCCCCCAAATCCAAATTCACAAACTTTTGCTTCTTTTGCAGGGCAGATGGGATGGATCGTTGCTGGCCCCAACTCCTACTGATTCCTTGCGGTACATCTCTACCCTTGTGACCTGCCGGCAAGGTACTTTTGAGGAGGGGAATGCAGGTGAGGCGACAGTAGATCATAAGATCAAAATCAGGCAAGTATTGGTATGTGGGGGTATGGCCCCCGGTATCCACAAGACAAGACATGTGCCGCCAGATCAAAGCGTGCACGACACTGGTTGACGTGCACCGTAAGATATTATATAGTACCAAATATGATACTTTCCTTATAACCCTACCCCTCCAGAGTTTATAAGGAGAGGCAGGGGTCCCCTAGTCGATATCCACATACAGGTCCTAGGCCTAGCCTAAGGCATCTGATCACGCAATATCATACGATAGCTAATACAAACCAACATACCACAAGAGTAGGATATTACGTCATACTGACGGCCTGAACCTGTCTAACTCGTGTGTCTCTGTTGCCTTCTTGTTCTTGATCACACGCTTCTCTGCCGATCAATCTACCTTCGTGTGATACCTCTCGGAGGACCGCCGATGATATTCTGTCGACAGTTGGCGCGCCATGTAGGGGTGTGCGTGCTGTTTTCTTGTCGAACAAGATGGCTTTTTCCATAGGCTCTTCGTCCCTCCCGTAGCCCGGCTAGATCTTCACGGTCGGATCGATCTCGTGGATCATCAACGCTGACGGAGTAGGAGTGCTCCTCGAACCGGTGTAGATCAATTCTGCGCCGATCACCCCCGCACCTGCGACTATAGATCCGATCTTGAAACCACCTCCGAGGTCGCCTTCATCGACAACTCACCACCCGCTTCCTCGCTACCAGAGGAGGCAGATCAACAATGATGATTTGATCGCATCTATCGATTAGGTTGGTCTGAAGCTCGCCGATTGTCTCTCCATCGCCAAATCACCTCTGGACACTCTAGTTCAGTGCCAACCACCCTCCGATCTAGATCTATCGGAGGCTACTCGGGAAACTTTAGGGGTTACGGCCCTACCCTTCGGGTTCACCAACGCCGCCGCCGTTTACCAAGATGCCCTAAGGGGCAAACTCACCGACCAGGTTAGAGATGTCCATCCTCTCGCCGACCAGATAACGCCATACATCGCCGACCAGACGTTCTGTCTAAAGCTAAGTCACGCTTTAATATTTTTCTAAATATTCCCCAATCTCCGTATATCGCCATAATGTTTCTCCGAGCTATTTTCTCCATATTTGCTCTCCAAACGATTTTCCGAACCTCCGAACAGTCATGTTGAAGATCGGACACCTCCAGAGACGGCTCTGTCTCTAGCTCCTCCCTATACGCGCTACGGGCTCCGCGCTCTGTGTTATGGGTGGTCGGCTGCGGTTCCTTGGTCACGCCTATTTCTCCTACACGTGCATGGGCTCCGCGCTCGACGTTATGGTTAATAGGCTAGTTAGGACTGGAGACTCAGCTACACACTAACTGTTCGGGTGGTTTGTATTAAATATAAGTACATCT